TACAGTATTGTAAAATAAAATGAATTAATCATTCTATTGGGATTATAATGTGTTTTGAGAGTTTGTACACTAGAATAATACAAAATCTAGAACTACATTGACTGGGCTCATTGACTGAATTTATCACTTTTGCAGATCATGTAAATTCTCTGTGTCTCCGCTTTTATCATTGGTTAAATCAGGCTAATAACTGTAACTCATCTAAGATTTTTGTAAAATTTAATTAAGTAGGCATAGTTGTGTTCATGTGTATGTTTCCATACAGACACAAGCTCTAGACATAAAAATACTACAAGATTTAGCTATAATATGTTTTAAGACCAGGAATCAAACATTGATATACTCACTATTCAAAATTATGATCACTTTTTAATCATTATTCATTTAAAACAGTGTTGCAAATCCTGTATATCTTAAATTGAAAAATTATTGACTTAAGTACTTATATCTGTTCACATATACAATTAAAATTCCTGAAAATTAAAATATCTGTAAATATGGATTGTACATATAAACATTTAGGCACGGTTTCAAATCTCAAATTTGCCTTCTCTTTTATCTAACTTAAATAAAGCAGAATACACAGAATCTCTGAACTTTAGTTTCTGTGTCTATAAAATGAGCCTCATAATGCTCAGTATAAAACATTAGGGTTATAAAAGGTGCATCCATTTGAGGCACTTTGAAGGAGCTTTGCAAGTATTAAGTGTGATATAAGTAGTAGATTTCACTTTCCCTGAGGACATTTACAGTATGTTCATATTCTACCAAGGCTAAATCTTATGTAAGTATAAGGGACATTATTTTAAAATATTTATGATCATTTCAGTTCAACAAACATTTTGGAACTCTATTACTGTAACTTAGATCCTGTCATTGAATCTTCCCAAATTAACTGTTAACACATAAGCACAATGGAAATGGAAGTATCACAGCCATATAATTAATAGCTATATAAATAGATGTGGATTTTATTTCAAATATGGTCATGATAATCATAAATCTAACAAGTACATGGTTAAACTAGAAGTGTTTCAGGACTTGCCTTCTTTTGGTATGTATTTTTGATGAATAGCATGTTAAATTACTTGCATCATTTTCTTTGTAACATCTTCTTAGGAAATATTTACTTACTGAATTTTTTCATCCTTTGGTACAAATGAAGTGGACATTAATATGACTAAGTTTGTCTTACAACTTCTTCAACTTTACTCTGTCTTATTACGACAACCATTTTCTTTTGATGTTAGCAGCATCAACTGGTGCCAAAAAGACTAATCTAGAAATAGTGTTAATTATCTGCAGCTGCTCAGGCAGCAAGGACACTTAAAACATTGGGTTTCTTGTTCACAATACAACAACAAAAAACAACACTCAAATATCAGCATCTGTAGAACTTTTTCCCAAGAAAATATAAAGTGTATCATATTCAAAGTCTGGAAAAGTCATAGAAGACTTTATATTAAACTATAAATGTAATTGGTTATATTACCATGTGATGATACTGGAATTGGTTATATATACCATATTGGAAAAATATGCTCCAGTTAAAGTTCCTTTTCATTATTCATAAGACTAGTTGGTTTCACATCATAATAACAATATCAAGAAAGTATTACTAGGAGAATACAATATTGGGCTGGTTTGAGGCACAGAGAAATCCATTGGGAGATGACATTCAAATATATTACTTTGACAATGACATTTTGGGACAGTTCACACCACCCTCTATGTTGGCAGTAGTGATCAAAGCTAAGTTCAAACATGTCATGATCATATGATTTCTGTGATTTTGGAAGACAAATAATGTTATTTAAAACAACTAAAGAAGGGGAAATGTATCTATTATTTCAATAACTTACAAATCTAAGCCAAAGATCTAGTGATTTCTTAAAACTGCTAATGAAATCCTCCTCCATTTGATATTTTTATATCCTCCTTTTCTTTTTTTCCTACGAACCATGCATTTGATCTTTCTTACAATAAATCTATTTAAAACGTTTTTTGATTGCTTCTGATCTTCTTTCAACAATATGCACAAGGCAAACAGGAAACTATAGACCTAGATCAGCTGGATTGACCCTTGATGAAACTACTTCTCAAAACTTTCAACACTAAATGTTGTATAAACTTCAGGTATTTTATTATACACCTCAAAGAAAAGATGTACTATATATGAGTCTGAAATGCTGAATACAGTGTAGATTCTACATTCATAAACCTTCCAGTAGTTTGAAGATTTAAAGATACATTATTACAAATGTGGTGAATTAGTTACTTTTCTCCTTTTGAGACAAAATATTCAACACCCAAAGTTAAAGGGAGAACAGTTTATTTAGCTAACCTTGACTGTCTTCAGCCCACTGTTTAGCAAATGTGAAAAGTAGTGAGTCTCTGCCACACTTCTGCTACTCACTGCAAGGTCTCTGGTTCCTCTCTAACTTGGGTTCAGGATTTCAGGGACAGAGTGGCACAGGAACACTTTCAAAGGTGTTAAATGTGTGTGATTGGGAACTTGTGGTTCAACAAGTTTATTCCTTTTAAATTAAATGAATTAAATGAGTCTGCAGCAAAGTGAAGAACTAAAATGAGTTCATTTTGACACCATCATTTTTACTGATTTCTAACATTAAAATCTTCCCTCAACTCCCTACACACATTCAGATGCTAATATTTAAAAATTCTGATGATAAGTTAATAGGAATTCCAAAAACTCAAAAGCTCGTTGGAATCCCAAGGAAATAAAAATAAATTTCTGGTCCAATGTTTTGCTATTCCTTTATGAAAAGTGGCATAAATCATAATTGATTGGTGATATATTCCTGGTAACTCTGCTTTTGTGCCTTCTCAGAATACACTAGCTTTATATCCGTGTGATTTCCAGGAAGTCTTTTACTCTCTACATCCCCAAACTGTTGTGCTCCTTCTCCCTATCTTTGTTTTGCAATAGCAGTATGTCATTATTCTTTGTCTCAAGTGAAAACATACCCAAGCTCTCCAACTTTATTGTAATTTTCTGCTTTGGTACCTGATATCTGTCCTTGTAGATATAATGTTGTGGAATAAATACTTCTTCAAATCCATTTGACATGTAAAAGAGATTGTTATGTATAAGTGCTTTTAAATTAATAATGAATGTTTATAAAACAAATTTTTGGTATTCATTAGAAATGTCACTTATGTCATTCTCTAGTGTTTTCATTCTCTCTTCTAGTATATTGTGATAACAATGTACTTATATGCAAGTTTGCAAAAGTCCAATTATTCCTGAGAACACCCAAATAGCAAGATTTCTTCACTAAAACCAATATGATGATGTAATGGGGTCCACTATCTCAACAGGACTTTTCTCTGAAAGAAGATCTCTTTAAAACAAACAAAATTAAGGAAATTAATTCACCTATTTGCTTTAGGTAGGTACCCAAAAAACTTGACAGTAGATTGTGGCATGTTCCAATTCTTAATTCTCAGCACCAAACTTTGTAGGCTCACTTTATTTATTTACTTAGTTAGGTTACTTCATTAGTACAAGTGTGTGGTACATAATATTTACATGCTTCAGGGGAAGCTGGTGAGATTACATAACACATCTTAATTCCTTCTTTCTGCGCCCTTAGCTTCCCTCTGCCCGCCTCCGCCTATGCCTGGATCCCTTTCCTCTCCCTCTGTACATTTGAAGTACATGAGGTTTATATTCACTGTGTAGAGCTGGTACTTTCAGCCATAATCCTGTACCTTACTTCCCCCTCTCTCCATCACTTGATCCCCTTCTTCTTTGCAAACAATCTATGTTGCTACTTCCTATTACATATCTTTTATTTTGCTCTTAATTGTTACACTGGGTTTTCTAATAAGTTGAAGACATCTGATATTTCAGCTTGTGTGTCTGATCTATTTCACTGAACATTATGGTTACAAGGTGCACCCATTTTTTTGCAAAGACTGAAGTTTATCTTTAGCAAGAGCAGTACTCCATTGTGTTTAAATACTACATTTTCTTTATCCATTCATCTGTTGGTGGACATATGGGCCTCTTCTTATATTTAGCTATTATGAATTGTGCCACTATAAATATGGGTATGCATGTATCTCTGTAATATCTTTAACTCTTTCAGGAAAATACCTAGAAGGGTCATAACTGGGTCAAATAACTATCTAGTTACAGTTTGTTGAGGAATCTCTATACTGGTTTCCACAGCAGTTGTACCAGTTTACATTCCCATCAACAGTGTAGGGGTATTCCTTTTCCCTACAGCCTCATCAGCATTTATTATTTGATTTCTTAATGATGGCTTCTTTCTGAGAAAAAAAGTGGAATCTTGGAGTAGTTTTAACTAGCATTTCTCTAGTGGACCATAGGTTATTTTTAAACTACTGATCCTTCTTCAAGCAGAGCCTACCTTACAGAAACAGTGACAATTGCTTAAAAGATATTTTAAAATACTTCCTTACTCTCTAGGAATTTTGTGTCAGCCTCCAGGCAACAGATTCAAGTACTCCACTGGTCTGAGTGTTTCTTAAGGAACATTTCCTAAAGCTCATTGGGAGTTCTAGCCCCAAATATCTATTTTGTGTTTGAATCTATTTTTATAAACATCAACACATTCATAAATTAATTTCTTCCTCTTTGATTTTAGTTCAAACTCTACCCAAAGGAAAGCTGAGATTTGTGAGTAACCACAAGTAAAGCACATTTAGAGGGTATAAAAATTGTAATTATTGCTTAAATTTGAAAACTCAAAAACATCAAGATATATAATAAGATCTTTACATAATCTGCATTATTTAATAATATACATGTAAATTCTATAATCCATACTAATTCTGATTCATAATAATGTTTAACCTAGTGGATTATCATTGTATTAACCAATCTTCTCAATGTGTTTCAGTAACACTCTGCATAAAGATTAGCAGACATCGATAAATATTTCTACTTTGCCATGATTTGTGACAAGCAATACTGCTACATCAGTAGGGTTCAATATAGCAATGTTTACCTGTGTGTAAGCCTCCGGTGAGTAATGCAGACTGCAGTCTGAGAATCTTGAGAAATACATACTTTATGGCGACTACATTTCATCTTTGAGCATGGATCCTTAGCTGGATCTAAAGCTGAGAGAAGAGAGAGAGAGAGAGAGAGAGAGAGAGAGAGAGAGAGAGAGAATATTAAAATAAAATTTTGTATAGTAGAGACTTCTAATTTAATCAAACAATTTTTTCAAATGATTTTTATAGCATTGAGCTCTAAACATTTCTCCTATGTTTCCTCTGTTAAAAGAAATTTATCATAACTATGAGAGTAAGTATCAGATAATAATGGCAGTTGACTCTTATCTAGTATATTCAGAGCTAAAGCACATATGCTACTATAATAAAAAAACTAATAAAAACAAAAGATTTTAGTTTAAATCTTCACAGTTGCTACTGTTATCATAGCAGCAAAGTTGGCTGAATCAGTTTGGGGTATGTAACTGTAATATTTTATGCCAGTGGAGAATTACAAAATGTATTTCTACTATTGCTAGATAAATGCAGATGGGTAAACAAAAAAAGTTAAAAACCAAAATGATGTCAGAAGACAGATGTCTTCAGATAGCCAAGAAACATCTAGAGCTGCACTTAAGGGTTGGCTGAGTGTATTGTGATACAAACTGAGATGTTGTATTTTCACTTTTAATTTTCTTTTGCTAACATTTGCACAATCATTTCTGTAATCAACTTCTTTGATAGCTGCCAATACAAAGACTACGTGATAAGCTGATTTTTAAAAATAAAAGCCTTATGGACATTCTATACACTACATTCATTTAAATCAATGGTTTTCAGTATATTCACAATTATGCAACTATCATAATTTTAAAATATTTTATTATCAATTAAAATTAAACATTCTGTGTAGTTTCCCCTCTTAATTCATCATTAATCTAATTTATCTCTGTATTGATGAACTTTTCTGGATATTTCATAGAAACTGAATCATAATATATTTAGTCTTTTGTCACACAGCATAGTATTTCTGAGGTTCAACTAAGTTGTAGCAAAAATCACTGCTTCATCCCTTCATACTGTAGAATAATGTTTTGAGCATGCATATACCATATTTTATTTATCTCTTCACTAGGAAATGGGCAATTGGGTTATTTCAACCTTTTGAGTATTGTGAAAAAATGGTTCTGGTTACCATTATTGGATACATATTAATATATTATACAGTATATATTTTTCTTTACTATTATTGCTTATGATATAACATATATATAAAATATATGTGATATATATATATACATTATTTTCTTTATCCATCTATGCTTTGAAAGCACTCCATTGAATACATGTCTTATGCCTTATCTATTGTAAATAGTGCCTCATCACCGTGGGTCCATAAGTATTTTTTTGGTAGGCTGTCTTCATCTCCTTTGGGTATGTAACCAGAAAAAGGATAGCTGGATTACATGGTAATTCTCTTTTTAGTTTTTAAAGAAACCTCCATACTATTCTCCATGGTGGTTTCACTAATTTACATTCCCCAAAACAATGTATAAGAGATTCTGTTTTCTTTATATTCTTGCAAATATTCATTATATGTTTGCTGATAGTTGTCATTGTAATTGGGATGACATAATATCTAATCATGGTTTTGATTTGAACTTTGAATATACTTAATATAGGATATTATTCTGAAAAAGTTTTTTATTTTTAAATAAAACACTATAGTATTTATAAAATTATCATGTCTTATCCAATTACATTTTGAATACAGATTAATATTTTAGTTATTTTGTCTCATTTCTTTATCTTACACAATTACATTACATAGTTTTTAAAAGTTCCATGAAATTTTTTGCATTATATCTGATTTTGAAGAGAAATCAGAGCTCAAAACTTGTTGTATACCAAGAAGGGAATTGCCAGATCATATTTAACACATGAAAAAGAACTCAATGACAAAATTTTGCATAATATTCTAAATAACGAATCAAATAAATGAATGGCAGTATTTGTCAGGAGGTAGAAATATAATAAGAAAAATAAACATGAAGAATCGAGGCATATTATCTACAATAAGGAAAAAAATCAATCCGCGTATGTGATTTTAACCATCTGTATTTTGTTCTAGAACTCTCATTGTTGGCAGCTTTAAAACTAGAAAACATCACACACTGTAAAAACAGATGCTGAAGACTTTATTCATGAAATCATAACAATAACAAACCAAAGTCCTCTTGGCTGAAGCCCAGGGATTAGAATCAATCTGTGCCTAAAGATGCCTGGCATAATTCCATCACCTCCCTCTATTATTACCCTCTTCTTTCTGTTTTCTTTCATTTAAATTCTCCTGTTCTGGTCAGTATTGCTATTTCTAGCTTTCTCTCAAGCATTCAGTAAAATTATCTCTAGTAAGATTTCAATTGGCAATTTCGACTTCACATGGTCGTATTATCTTCTTCATCATAGTCTTTCTGATATTTATGACTTGAAATAGGGATCTAACAAATGTTTTCTGTTTGTTTCAGAAAATGCCATCTGTATTTTATTAAATGCTTTATAATTAAAACTTTGAGCTTCATTACATCTGTGAAATAGGATTTCCCTTCCTCCTTTGCCAGAATACTTGCTTTTAATCCAGAATCTCCACTTACTGAAAAACCAGAGAAACTAGGATCCAGATGCTCATGGTGGAACTGGCTGAGCCAGGAAGAGTGAAAGCAGAAAACAAATGTGAGGGGAAGAAAGTATGTTAGTAAGAAAAATTCAGTTCAGGAGGAGAAGTTCCACCTTAACAGGAGCATAAAAGTAAAGACACAGAACACAGAACCACAAACATGGACCATACAATTTTAGTTTTTGTTTATCTGAGTTGAAGATTAAATTCATTGAGACTCTCTCACTGAGCTGCACCCACAACCCTAAAACTCTAATATATAGTTAGGCACTAAACTTTCAGTGGAACAACATTGTCATTGGTATTCATGTTTACCATGTATGGACTGCAGAAAAAAATTTAAAATGTCATCTAAGTATTCAAATAGGTATTAATTTTTGTATTGGGAACTGAAGTAAACTTTATCAAGGTAGGTTAGAGCTTCTAATATGCAAACTCATTTCTGGGTCTATCTGTCTACATGAAGACAAGATTTTGGAAAAATAAATGCTAAATGTTCTACATTGAAGCACGTTTAGATCATGGTACACACATAAGATGTGAGTGAAAAATATGGTAAATGTTTAAATTAAAAAATTAATTACAGTAAAAGACACATTGATATTAACCTCCTCAAAATAACCCCCCTCTCTTCAAACATGCTTATCCCATGCTTGGGGGAGGGGGGGTGCGTGGGGTTGGGCAAGCAGAAGTGTATATATTTGTGAGAAATTCATTTGATAGAGAAAATGATGCTGCCAAGTTCATGTAAATCAGTTCATAGTCTTAAACTGAATTTAGTGCTTCACTTCAGAATGACTGTCCTATTTTATCAAACTTCATATGGTATAGCATTATAACTTTTTAAACAAGATATGCATTAGGTAGCAAAATTCTGTGATATACAAGTCATACTGCCTACTGATAATGTGAAAAGTTCAAAGTTTTAAAACACATCTGTTCTAAGAACTTGTATAAGATGTTATATGGCAGATAAAGACTCTTCAGTGTTTGCTATATATTGGAGTTGTTGTTTACATGCAAAATATCTTTAAAACCATTGTATGAAATATGTATTTTTATCTCAGTTTTAGAAGCAAAGAAACTGTAGATCAAATAGAATGTTTTCTTCTAGGATGTAAAACTAGTAACTAGTGAAACTAGAGCTCAAATTCAAGTGGTTGGACCAAGTTTAAATGATTTGCTGCTGAAGAATTCTGTTTTATGGTCTTCAGAAGAGATTAAAATTAGCTATAAAAATGGCCTGTGATCATTTTGTAATTTAATATTCTCCATTAATTTTAAAATATTCCCCATCAATTTTTAAATTTTGCTGAAATTATATTAATTTGCACTATCTGGCAAGACCAACAAAAGGCAATAAACTTAAATTTCACCTGAGTATCTTACTCTAGCTTTCAATCTAAGGGTCTATTATTATGGTTTTGTGAGACCTAAGTGACTCCATTCTAAAAGTTGGTGGCATAAATTTCAGTTCTAAGAAAAACCACAAGATGTATTTTGACCACCTGCATGTGATAGTGTTCAGCCGTCCCCTGGCAACAGCTAATCAGTAGTTAGCAACCCTTTGCAGCTTGGGTGCGCAAGGCACAATCAGGTTTAATTGCCAATCTAGAACCTTGCTGTAACCACTATAAAAACCCCTGCTGATTTGGAGTCGGGGCTCTCAATCTTGACCCACTGCGGCGGTGACAGTTGAAAGTCCCTGCTTGAGCTTGAATAAACGACCCTCCTGTGTTTACATCATAATTGGCTCCTTGGTGGTCTTTGGGGACCTCGAAATCTGGGCACAACAGTTTCTTGAGTTTTATTCTCCATCATGGGTCAGTTCCATGCATAATTACTTAGGATGTAATACCTTGTTCTGATAATTCTTCAACCTAGAAAACAACTCAGCAGAAGAACCAACCCATCCATTTATTCTGCTCTTTTACATTTATCATTAAAACACTACCATTTTAAAGCAAAATAGAGATCTGAGGAAATTTCTTATTATGTCGGTCCATTATGTTTTAGGTATTTAGAGAACGGAGTGTCTATGTCCTATTCTTCATCTCTATCTTTTCCCAGATGTTTTTGCAGCCAAGGGCATTTTTTCTCTTATCTACAGTTAGTTCAGCAAGAGCCTCTCACAGTCTTGGGCCTCACAACTCAGTTCTACTGTGCTCAACTTTTCTCCCCTGATACAGCATAGTTACATCCCCCAAAATGAGTGCTGCTTTAGTAGATTTACTTACAACTTCCTACATAGTTTCCTTTCCGTGAAGATGTACTTGGGAGTTTTTATTATTGCTTTCACTAGAATTCTTAAGTATATTCTCAATCAGCACTGCCTTCTTTTGAATAGTGTGTATATTTCTGCATTTTCACTGTACCATATAATGTCCAGTTCTCAGTGATTCAAGGGTTTAGTGGAGATCAAGGAAATTTCAATAACAATAACTTCAAT